TTAACTCAATTATCTCTAATTGGAATGAAGTTTGTCCAACTATGCGAGTAGCTGACGTAAATTAAATTTAATTTAGCTGAAAGGATTAAGTATTGCCTTTTGCTTGTCTCTTTGTATTTTACTTTTATATTTTAATTTTATCATTTCATGAACATAAATTGGAAGATTTTCAAGAAATTTTGTGCTGGTTTGGCAGTTGTAACAGTTTACTGTAGTTTTCAAGTAATTATTTCTGTCTGTAAACCGTAGATCATTTTCAGCCCTCAGTAGCAATTTACCGTGTTTTGTAGGTGACCGAAAGTTCAGGGCCACGTCGACGAAAAAGAAGAATACCAAAAGATTGGAGAAGGATTTACAGTTTCATACTTTCCAGGAATTCGAAAAACGTCAGAAGTCTTGAGGATTGAACATTGATAGCCTGAATTTAAACCCAGGAAAATGCGGGAATGCGTAGACCTTTATTTATTTTTCATTTTTGTTTAAAAACCTCTCGATCCCAAATTCATCCAGATTATAATTTCGCAACCCTCTTCCGCGCCATTTTGTAGTAGTAAATTTAGAAAAAATTTAAGTAAGCAGAGAAACGCATACTAAGAAGCCTAGGTAAACCAACATTTCACTACATTACTCACATGTGACGAACTTTTGTGTCCCACACATAAAGGGCTTAAAATTAAACGGTAATCAATTAGTGGTATTAAAATAAAATTTAACTTTAACAGAAAAAAAGTAAATTACACTTATTTTTGACTGAAAATCTAACGGTACGGAAATCTCGAGAGTTTCTTACCAGGAAATTTGAATTTCTTGCTGCTTGGTCAAGGCGGCGTGTTTCGGAAAGGAAATTCGGAACCCCATGGGTACTCAAGACGGAGAAACGAAAAACTTCAGGAATCTGGCGGTCGTTGGCGCATAGCTAAAACAAAATTTACGGCACACGGACACGGTAAGATTTGTTCAAGCGGTACAGGCAATCCCAATTATTTAGCGGTATACCGACGGGTGAAACCCAGACACCCGGAAAAAAGGAACACAACCCACTTTTTATAACCTTCCACGGGAATGAAATATCAATGCGCTTACCTTGATTAAACGTACGGTGAGAAATTTTTACTAAAGATTAAATGCAACTTATGCGCTATATCAAGACGACGAAAAATCGAAAGATCCTTCTAAATGATTCTGAGACTCGGATTTCCTAGCTGGCTTTTGCATACTGAGCGATAACCGATCCAAAAAAAACTTATTCACCCTGACTCGTACAAATCGAGGACTAATCTTGAAATTCATGTTAAATTTTAAAGCGGCGCTTTCATTTTGAAGACTAAACTCTATCTATCAGACGAGGTGTTGCTGCAGAACATCTCATTAGCTCCCGTATTTAACTCAAATATAACAGTCGGACTGAATTCCGGAATCCGGTAGCCCTAAATAATGACTATAATTGCTGCATGGAATTCGGGCCAATCCGCAATAGGTTTGCGATAAGAAGTAAACTGCATGACTTGGAGTTTTAACGCTCGTTTTCGATATTAAATCGGTTACTAATTAAATTGACGGCGCTGAAATCATAATATTAATTCTTTCCCTGCTTCTCCATGTCGAGGGCTGTCGGATGCTAATAATAAAATAATGTATATATCTCTACGGGAAAATTCAATTAGATACTTTATGTCTAAGAATATGTGTACCAAATTTGGTTCCAATCAGTTCAGCCGTTTACCCAAAAGTGAGAGTTTGGTCCATTTGCGCATGCGCGATTCTGCTCTTCCTTTTATGTCTAAGAACATGTGTACCAAATTTGGTTAATCGGTTTAACCGTTTAGTCGGAAATGAGAGTACAGACGGGCCGACAGACCGACATCATCGTGATTTTGTTTGATTAGGATTCTTGGTGCTTCAAACCGTGTATTTCTAGCAGAAAAGTGGGGGGTCATTTGTTACCCCAATGCACCCTTACTAACATGCGGTGGTCAAAACTATAAGAATATTTGAAAGGCTTATGAGGAAGGTGGAGAGAACTACTCTATTTAAACGTTCGGTCACAATTTATAAAAGACACTTCTTGAAACTACAGGAAACTTTTTGCAGTCGTGAATCGTCGGTTCTCTTTCACTTTACAATCCACTTTTTGAATGGACCTGTGGGAAATGACTGATGGGCGCCCACATGGTTCCTTATGGTGATTGGCCCCCACCCATTTCTGGGATATTCCATCACTCATAATGTTTTCTCTATAAACTTCACCGATTTGGCGAAGAATTTCAGCTGATTTAAAAATGCTGCTTTGTACGTAGTTTCAGTGCTGAGAGCTCAATCATTAGATAGATGGACGGACTGCCTGAATTTACGCAGGCAAAAATGCGGTAAAAAGTAATAGGGTTAGGGAATTTGGCATATCCCAAGAGAAATAATTTAACCAGCAAAATACATTTGTGTAATCGCCACCACTAGAGAGAAAATTAAATTGTTAAGTCGCGTGACGTAGATTACACGTTTGCTAATTAGAGTTACATAAACACCGATTTAATTTAATCAGTTTTTTTGTTCTTACCAACCACGCTTGCTAACACTGTTCAAATAATTAACGTTTTCTCTAAATTTTCGTGTAGGTACAGAGATTTTCAAATGTGAGCATAAAGGGGCGCACTAACTTGGATTGTCGCAAGTTTCTAACTTTGTTAACGTTACATATAAAGGATAAGTTAATTAGCCAAGTTACGTAAGAGGTAATTGTAATGCCCTTTCGTTTCGTATATAGTCGTTTGTGATAATAGTTTTTGATACGTTCGTTATGCAGTGACTAATTTTCGACGAAAATGTCAAAAAGTTGGAACGTCCCGGCTGCTGTCCGTCTGCTCGGCTGTTCGCATCATACCTCAAAAACGCTTTGATATATAAAGCTCAAATTTAGGGGGCAGATACGCCATGACTTAGGGTAAAAGTGATTAGATGTTGGGATTTACTCACCGACAGGTTAGCTGTCAATTTTACAAGTCAGTAGGGTTTAAACATGACGTTTACCCTTAGGAAAGGAAAGAGAGTGTTTACCCGTTTGCGTTTTGTCTTGATTAACGTTTACTATTGAGCAACAAATAAAAGCGTTTATAGGCGCCATATAAATTTACAAAGACTCCCCCGATATAAACGCTCAAAGTGGTTTCCTATGCCGTTGGGTGGGCTTGTAGCCAGATATGCTAACAGAACAAATACTACTACACATGGTCTACTGGTTGCTAAATTCGCGAATTAGAGAAAATGTTTCCAGGGACAAAATTGCAACTTTCACAGAGTTGCCACAGCTTGTGGAAGACAACTTTGAAGACCTAATTGCGGCAATATCTACAATTGATAAAAATGGAAAAGCAACCCGAAGGACCTCAAAAGAAAACCAGGTGCGCTTTCTGTAAGAATATCGGCCACCTGAAAGAAGAGTGTCGCGAACTTGCCTGAAAACAAAACAAACGTAGCGAATACGTAAAGGTAGGTATACACTTACAGGTTCACCTGTCAAAACACCTCTTAATCATTGTGATAAATTTGACCACACAACTTACCCCATACCAAGAGCGGATTTCGTCAACCTGGAAGGAACCCAAAGATATTCATGATCGGAAGCAAGAGATGCAAAAGTTTTCGTCGCGATCTAGGGGAAAACCCCTCTCTGAGTTAATTTGAATTAATTAGAATTAACCTGAATTAATTTGAAGTGAATTAATAAGAATTAACGTGAATTAGAATTAACGTGAATTAATATGAATTAGCGCGAATTAATTTGAATTAACGTTAATCAATTAGAATTAACGAGAATTAATGTGAATGAACGTGAATTAATTTGAATTTATGGGAAATAATTTGAATTTACGTGAATTAATTTGAATTTACTTGAATTAATTTGAATTTACGTGAATTAATTAGAATTAAAGTGAATTAACATTTATATTTACGTGGCTGATAACGCAAATTTAAATGAACCTCAGAGCAGCGGCGTTAAAGTAGACATATGCATCTGCAAAAACTCCATTTGCGCATTCACGTAGGGTAAATTTTGCGAATCAGTTTTTGCAGCATTGTGCACACAATAAATAAATCAGTCACAGTTTACGTGAATTCATATACTCTGCGGCCCTATGCTGCGATTCCCGACGATCTTCCGAGTAATAATATCTATCTTCTGATCTCTTTGTCAACAGGAAATGCCTTCTGCAGGTGGTCTTGCAAATAGCAAATCTTCCTTTTAGAATGCGATCGCAGGACTTCTAACCCATTTTTGCTTTTGAAGTTGGGCTTTAACTGTGATATTCCTCGAATGTGAAATTCTGACTTCAAGCTTCAACTTCTACATCAGCTGCACTTCAACCTGTAATTTGATAGCCGCAATTGTTCCGTCCTTTTTAGCGCATTGTTTAAGTATACGTAGCCCATATGATGTATACATTTATTTATTTATTTATTTATTTATTTATTTATTTATTTATTTATTTATTTATTTATTTATTTATTTATTTAACGGAAATACCATTTTTACAAAGAAATACAAAACATAATATCTATAGCAAAATGTAATAACAAGACGAAGTGTGACTATAAATCAAAATTACTGATAAACTTAACAAAAAATATTTCAAATAAAAATCAAGTGCATTATATTGAAAAAAGGAATGGTAAATTTCATTGTTTCTAAAAACCCTTAAGTAAACACCTACGTAACAAAGAATACAAACCCAAATTATACTGTTAACCGTTGTGTAACATCAGCTTCCTTCGGAATTCGACAAACGTAGTACCAAAAAAGTTAATATTAGTACACAGTACATTTGCGGAATTGCACATTCTTACTATAGCGCGTCCAAACCTCCAAATTCAGTATGGGCTCTTATGGAGTATACACCTCCTTTACTATCTTTAGCGATTCCCAAATAACACAATCCTTGTCCTACAAGGCAACGTCACAGCTTACTTATAGTAAGTAAGCTGTGGCAACGTTTGTCGTTGTCAATTGTAAATTGTAATTTCATCAGTCGTCTGTCACCTGTCACATTTATATTGCTCTTGTTTTTCTCCGTAATTTCTTAAATTCTCGTACCGCATTTATTAAAAAATCGTTCTTTTCAGAACGCATAAATCATTTACATTTTACAAGCGTTTTTAAGGTAATGATGGGTTTTCCTATGATTTTGTCATTGAGGTTAACTTTGTAGAGTTTCCAATAATATGGAAGTACAAGGAGATGAAGCTGGACCTGCAAATATAAAACGACCCCAGGGGCAATATTTCTCATCGTTAATGTTCTGAATTATTTCTCCTCAACAATGAACATTAGCGCAGCAGTTAAAGAAGCAAGCAAGGCTTTATGCTGTACAGAACGCAGCATTTATAGCATCAAAAAGGAAGAGCAAACTGTTGGAATCTCCAGTCCCAAAAAACGTATGAAAAGAAAGGGTGCTCAAGTAAATGATCGACTTCGTGTATATGACCAGGATATACAGTCTGTTATTCGACGTAAAGTCCACAGCTTCTTCGTCGAAAATATTCTACCAACAATGAATAGTATTCTGACTTCCATTAATAGTGATGATGATCTACCAAATTTTAAACGTAGTACACTACACAATCTCTTAAAAGATATTGGGTTCGAGTTTCAAAAGATGGGACGCAAGAGCATTCTTATTGAACGTGACGACATCATACGCTGGAGGCATAAATACCTAAGATGCATAAAAAAATACAGAGAAGAAGGTATAGGCACTTTATGTGTTCTACATTTACTTATAAAATAATTTTAGGTAGAAACATCGTATACACCGATGAATCATGGGTTAATGTGGGGCATGCAGTAAATAAGGCATGGCGTGATACCACTATCAACAGCAGTCGACAAGCATTCATCCAAGGGCTGAGCACTGGATTGAGATTACCAAGTGGTCTTGGGCCAAGATTTGCCTTAGTGCATGCTGGTGGTAACAACGGTTTTATTCCTGGAGCGGAGCTGACTTTCCTCTGTAAAAAGAATACTGCAGATGCACATAATGAAATGGATACAGATACTTACGAGAAGTGGTTTATCGATCAGTTAATTCCGAATATACCACCAAATTCAGTAATTGTGATTGACAATGCTTCCTATCACAGCAGAAAGGTTGAGCAGATTCCAACAATGTCATGGCGAAAAGAACACATTATGAACTGGCTTATGGAGAAAGAAGTGCCCATCGAGGACAACATGTTGAAACGAGATTTACTTGCTGCAGTAGCTGAAGTGAAGCCTCGATACGACAAGCACAACTTGATGTTACAGCACAAGAAAGAGGTCATGAGATTCTCGTTTGCCACCATATCATTGCGAATTAAATCCCATTGAAATGGTGTGGGCACAAGTAAAACACCATATTAAGATGAATAACACGACATTTAAGGTAAAGAACATGCAAGAGTTAATCAAACTTGGTTATGAAAAAGTCACGATTGAAAACTGGCAACATTATATAAATCACGTAAAGGGCATTGAAAACAACATGTGGATAACAGATAATCTTCAAGACGATATTCAAGCTTTTGTAATTAACGTTACGGAATCTTCTTCAGATGATGATCCAGAATACGAGTCCAGTGACAACTGATGAACAGATATAATATAAATTGTATTGGCAATGTTAAATTGTGATATAAACCATTAAATTTTCGTAAAATTTTGTTTTCTTTAATCTTTATCAGAGATATGGAGTAAGCATGCATAATTTGTATTTTGAGATTGAGGTTAGGAAGTGTGGTTGTTATACCATAAAAATCATCTAAGGTAATATAAAACTACAGGCACTACATCAGTAACATATGTTTGGCAACCATGTACTGTTTTTCCATAAGCTCCATACTGAATTTGGAGGTTTGGACGCACTATAGAGGAAAGTATTGTCCGTATTTAAGAAAAACTCCCTGTATATTCCTTATTAGAATATAACGCCTTGTAACGTTTGTTTCTTTTTTCAATTTAAAATTCAACCTTTTCATGGCTGATACGCCATCTGTATATTTCTCGTGTTAGTTCGTTTATTGGTATAGGTTCGTAATTCATGGTTCTATTACTAGAGGTCATCCGGATGTAAATTTCTTTAGTGTCTAATAGCGCCGTACCTGATCGGCAGAGAAGAACGAGTACTTGTAGAGAACCCGCCGCCATTCACTTTTGCTGGGACGATTTACGTCATATATCCCGCCATTAACTTTTGCTGTGACGATTTGCGTCATATATCTTACTTTTTACTTTACCTCTTGTTTCTACATCAATCTACGAATATTATCTATCTCTGCATCGATATCCTGTGTGAGAAATCTACGTTGAATTTGGACAACATGAGATTGCATCATCCTTTGAACTTTTCCATAGAATCCACAATCTTGACATACCTACGCTATGAACTAGATTTACATCGGCGACATCACGTGAAATTTTCTCCAGTGACCTACCTCGAAATTATTACCGGAGACCTGAATATTGTTTCTGAATTTTAATCGCAAGTGCTATTGTGAATTGGTTCGATCGAGGCCTACGATACTTACAGGCCGGAGCGCTCGAAAAAGTCACGTGACGTTGGGAGTCATATGAAATACATTACGGCTTATGGAAAATCCGTGCGCGGCTCCACTATTTATTTTTTTACTCCGGATCCGTTCAACATAGAGCCACGAAATTTCAATGAGAGCTTGTCAATAGTACCATTGAATAATAAATCTGAATAGAAAGACAACGCAATGCTTTTTGAAGGGTCCACTTTAACGGAGTTTCTCCGTAGGTTGCCCTCTGGGACAAACTCCGCTTATTAAAAGTAACTAAATTTTAATCGAGGTTTTATACCACCTACTCAACTGAATCAAAGTGATTAGATTTCTTTAGATGACGCTACTTTCGCGTACTTATCTCGTAGACTGCGTGGGAGTTATAACAGCAGGTGAAGATCGTATTGCAATATTATCTCTGTATTTACAAACTTATGCTTATGTAATACATGTTATTATTTGCACACCTCTTAGGAAATGACGTCAAAGTTATCAACTTACAAGTAAATCTTGATTCCAACGATCTTACCTTATGTAGACTTTAAGATCGAAATTAAACTTTACTATTATTGTACCTATAGACAATGTTTTCGGATATTTCAGAATATGCAATATACTGTCAGTCTCAGTTGTGCGAGCATTTACAGATATTGTTTAATTGCTGTTTCCGTATATAAATGCACAAATAACATGTTTTGAGACAAAATTTGGAATTAAGTACTACTTTAAACAACAACTTTAAAATTCAAATGAGAGAAGTGCAATATAATCTATTATGATGTGAAATGAAAGGTTTTTTAAATCGGCTTCATGAAAGAAATTGTATTGCACTTTTACGAAACGAAGACTCGAAAACGCCATGCCGACACGTTTGCTTCTAAACCTTTTTCTACGTCTCTCTTGTAACATATTTTTGATATTTTTAAATATTAATAATTACGGCACCTGAAAATACCATAAATATCAAGTACTTCTACAATTATTTATGCAAAATTCGAGTATTAAATCAAAAATCTGTTACAATAGAGGCATAGATGAGTCCTTTATCTTTACATCGGCACCTAACAACACGGTATAGAATCCAATTTACTCAAAATGTTATACTAAGTCCCACACCTAGACACGCTATTCGACCCATATAATTTCTATTGAAGCGCTTTCCTAGTCGTATGCTGAGAACGGCCTCTTAAGTTCTCGAGTTTACGGATCGAATAAGAAATTTCAAAGCTATTATGAATTTCCATAGCAAGAGAAAAGACGCAGTCGTCAATCGCATTCAATGGAATGTTTTTTACCGTCAAAAAATAAATCAAGAGAACATACATTTATCATAGGGTCCGTTCACTTAGCCCCCCATTAGCCCAAAAATGAACCAATTTTTTTTATGTATTGTGCCTCAATTGTGCATTTATGCGCCCCGTTTGTGCTTTTTTGGTTTTGGAGATAATCGAAAAAATCAAATGGGGGCTAAGTGAACGCTTAGCCCTCCCAAAAATTAAACTTTTTGATAGTTCATCGACGGTATTGCGTAGTACTTCGATTGTGTTTAATCGTGCTTTCATACTCATCGTTTGTGCCTTTTTGGTTTCGGAGATAATAGGAAAAATCAAATGGGGGCTAAGTCTGGGGCTAAGTGAATGCTTAGGTCTCATCAAAATAAACTGATTTGTACAAACTATAGCTTTTCCGGGCGACTCATTTTCGAGATCAGTGGGTGCCGGAGCGGGGGGGAGGGGGGTGGAACTGGTTTTATCCTTCATCATGATACTCTAATGAAAAGAGTCACAACGAAAGGAATTAATTTCTACCAACCATAGCCCTCCTCCTCAACCTCTTATCGTGATTAGGTATATTCCCTTATACCTCAAGATCGGATTGTCGGAAGAGGGTACTCACACGAACTTAAGATGGACTGCTGATCAAACAGTTGCATAGAGGTAGAAATGGCCCTAGCATGGGCGCCGCCATGATGTGCACATTCTAGTTATTTTCTAGGGGAATTTTCCTAGTGCTCAAGTGTTGAGACTATTGCAGCCTTGGAAAATGACATGTGTCACAGTAATTTATTTAGAAAATGTGAGGTTAATGTTGGGTTAATGCTTGTTTATTAGTTAATTTGAATTTCGCGCCATGTGAGTGCACATCATGGCGGCTCCCATGTAGGTGTCATTTGTCATTTCAGCATTAACAGTCCATCTTAATTTATAAGTTCGTGGTACCTACTCACAAAGGGCGATTGAGACGTCTGCAAGAAATATATCAATCAGTGATGTCAAAACAAAAGCTATTTCGGTTAAAAAAATGCGCGTTATCTGTACAAGAGTTGTGCACAATTTATACTTGTTTATACTTTTCCAGATTATGTCTTTCATACTGCAGCTTATGACCATACCTTGTGTTGTATTGATGATTAACGTTCAGACGATTGAAAATATCTGAATTCATCTTAACAAAAACTAAAACTTCTAATATCAGGCATGGAAAGGTAAGGATGTCATTTAAAGTTGGTTATACAGGGTGAAAATTGGGTGATAGAGGGCCGAGGGGTTCAAGATAAGCACTTTTTTTCAAATAAACCGAGGGTCAAACGTGTTTCGTTTGGGAGCCACCCCCAAAGAAGTGGTGAAATTTGTTCTTTAATTTTTTTCTCAGCAATCACCAGAGTTACTTTTGTGTTGTCTTACTGGAAGAAAGGGCAGCAACAAACTGCTCAACGCAAACTATATTAATTGGCACACAAACATAATTATTAATATTATAGAAAACATGTAAGTAAACAAGCGACAGCACTATTGCCGTACCGCGCGGTCGCTGCCGTTCTCCGTGACGTGTCCTTTCATTCTCCAATCGCTTCCCGAATAGTCTGGATGCCTCGCTGGATGCCAAACTGGGATTTTTGGCTTAACCTGGAAGTGAGGTACGGTGAAGGTTTTTTGACGGTTTTTTGTTCGTAAGGATGTCTACTTTGAGAATGCCACCTTGACACCCTTGAGCATTTTGAGAAATTCAAGATGGCGGCCAAGAAAATACAAAAATTAAAGTTTTAAAAAATATGGACATATAGCACATCGATTTTAGGGTTTTTAATTTCTGAATTAAAATTTTTAGTTAAAAATATTTTTGGGGGCGTTTTGGCGGATTGGGGTGGTGTTTTTAAGGGGCTGGTTTTTATATTTTTTCAATATTAACTTGTCGTACATCGATTTATATGTTTTTATGGATCCCGAATTCCATATCAAAAGGGAGGTACAGCAAGTTATTCAATGTTAAAAAAGTAGAACGACGCCGACAGACGGCCCGAAAATAACATAAAACGCACGATCCACCTTGCCCGCGCTGCACGACATCATTTTAATAAAAAGATAATAATTATAACAAGTGCAATACGTCTTTTTATAGGTTTCTTGGGGTGGAGATTACAATGTTGATGTCAAAGTATGATTTTTGAATAAATCCTAGAAAGATATACAAGATAGCGTCAAAATTATTATCTTTTTATTAAAATGATGTCGTGCAGCGCGGGCGAGGCGTACCGCGCGTTTTATGTTATTTTCGGGCCGTCTGTCGGCGTCGTTCTCCTTTTTTAACATTGAATAACTTGCTGCACCTCCATTTTGATATGGAATTCGGGATCCTTATCCATAAAAACACATAAATCGATGTACGACACGTTAATATTGAAAAAATATAAAAACCCGCCCCTTAAAAACACCCCCCAGTCCTCCAAAACGCCCCCAAAAACATTTTTAACTAAAAATTTAAATTCAGAAAACTTCAAAACCCTAAAATCGATGTGCTACATGCCCATATTTTTAGAAAATTTAATTTTTGTATTTTTTGCAGACATTTTTGGGCGGATTCTTAAAATAGACCTACTTAGTGACCTAAAACCGCAAAAAAATTTTCACCGTACCTGAAACAATCACTACACAACAGTTACAAAGATGAGTGACACATTTTTAATTAGGTTTTCGGGTATGCCCTTTCCGATTTTGAAAAAAATTTTCAAAATTCCTATCACGGAAGGGCGCACCCCTGCTTCGACGAAATTTGGTGCCTGGCGGTTTTTGAACATAAAAATCACGAATCTGGAATTAGTTTTTGAAAATTCGAAAAAAAAGTTCCACTGCAATTCTTGGCCGGACAACGAAAATGGAGAGAATTCCACGAAATTGGTTGTGTACATACTGGATGAGTTAAGGAACAAAATTTTAAAATAACTTTTCAAACAAAAGTTATAGGTACTCGTTT